AGCATGAAATGATGTGCCGTCATGGTCCCCAAGAACGCTTCACTTACGAAGCCTACAAGGAGACACTCAAGAATGCCGCCACCCACTACGATGTCAACCGCCGTGTTCCCGACTCCCAACTAGCCAACCTAGGAACTGTTGGTGTGGAACCAAGCCATACCGGTGATGGGGAGCAGCAAATCCTCGGACTCCCAAGTACAGATTGGTTCAAGCTCTCACCCGCCGGCCGCCAAATCTGGTGCAAGCTCCCTGATGCCGACAGACAAGTCCTGATAGGTTCGACGCCGCCTGTAGTTGATTCCAACCCAGCAGTCGGGGACACCTTGGACTCTCCCATGGCAGACGACAAAGCCTTCAAGGGCAAGCCCAAGCCCAATCCCAACCTGGATTTTTGATGGGGCGACTAGTGTACGTGCTGCACCGGTCAAGCCCAAGGAAACCAGGCACCGCCCATGTCTGCGGGGTAGCATGCCGCCCACAATGGGGCTACCTTCCGCAGGAAATGGCACCGTATGACAAGTCCCCTTGCTAGATTTGTCATCATGATTCAAGCATACCGTTTTGTGATTTACAACTTGTCTATTGTCACCAGTGGTGTCAAAAGACTCATCTCTGCCTGAGATGTCTGTGTTGTAACGTTTTGTCAACCACGTATTGATTCCAATATGACTACTGACTGTTTGTCTCTGCCCCTCTGAGCTTTATGGGGAGACAAACAGATGGCTTCTAAGCCAATTCCAAGCTATGGTGCAAGTATGGGGAGACCAAGTGGGATCCTTACTGACGTCCAGGTGCAATAGGTTCCTTGTGAATGGGGAGTATCTGCAGATAGCCTCAAGACATGTTCCACACACACCTTCGCGAGTGACCAACCCAAGGTGGATGTGTATTGTCCATCCCAAGAAGTACCTCTGCGCATACCACGTCCGTCCTATATCCTAACACCTTTTCTCTCTTGGACAACGATGGCAACACAATGCATTTGCTTTGGAGCCAGCCATCTACTTTGGAGGGTTTGAGATCACAAGTGTGATGTCCCTTCCTTTGTTCCAGTGGTACCCAGCAATGGACACCTTGATGTATTCAAGAGGGCTGTTGACTTTGTATTAGGTCACAGCCAAGGTCCACACTGAGGAACCAGATGCTCCCAGTTTTGTGGGAATGTCGAGGAATGACCCAGACATAGAGAAGCTTGTTGACGCCCCCATTTGATGACTCGAATGGTGGGGAGCGATGAAATTAGCAATAGGAGCCTCTATGGGTGCGCCACAGCTGTGCTGGTTTAGTCGGATGGAAACAATGCTTTTCATCGTGTACAGTCAATCAGTACACACAGCATTGCAGCCATGTGACAATTTGTATATAGCTGAGGCATGCCTATGTGTTGCAGAGCATACATAGCCTTCAGCCTAGATACATTGGAATGTTCCAGACCAACAGTCCTCTCCTAGGATCTCCAACTGTGGATATCCTCTCCAAAAGAGCCAGTTCTGTCAACTGGAGTGAAATCGTGGTAATGGTGTTTTTAGCTTATAGTAAGAAAGATAGTAATGAAAGAGTAACCCCTGAGACCCAGTAGCACCCTCAGCCCTGCAGTAGATAGATTCCTGTGTGGTATGTGCTAGGGCAATGTAACCAGCTCCCCAAGTACTCTGAAGCAGTGATTGGGTAGCATTGAACCAGCTCTCTTTGAGCTGGCCTTTCAGCCAGTGGAGGAGATCTCCATCACTAGAGATCTCCCTCCCAGCTCTTGTGTTCCTACAACTGAGCTCCCTGGCGGAGATTCATAGCAACCTCCGCCTACTGTTCTCTGTCATGGTTACTGATGTTACGGTGCCTATTGTCATTACCAAGATGTCGGAGTACGTTGGCTTGCTCATGGATACTGCCGGCAAAGACCTCTGGGAGGTCTACCGGAACCACCCATATTTGGCTGTCCACCCTTGGCAAGAGCTCCAGTCAATCCTGGGGGCTTTCTTGAAGCCGGCTACCAATGCTACTTTGTATGCCTCGGTTATTGCTGGCACCGGAGTGCAGTACGAGAATTTCCTAGGGGCTATTGCCACAGCTGACTCTCACATCCACGACCTTCGTGCCATCCTGAATGGTAGTGGGCTAGGTAAATTCGATGGCCTACCCACGTGCTCCACTTGGTTTCCTGATGCTCGGGGCAAACCCTTGCAGATCCCCAGGAACCAGAACCAGAACCCAGATAGGGTCCGTGGAGGAGATCCAACCCCACAGAAGCGGCAGAAGACTGCCGACCCGGGAGACAACGATCGCAAGAAGTTGTTGGGAATGCTTACGTTTGATACGGCTATTGCTGGGACCAACCGACTACCTATGGTGACTGCCCGTGCAAAGAAACGTGGGTCTAGAACCCCTGAGCGCCTATGCATGAAGTTTCTTACAAAAGGGTATTTCTGTGGAGGTGGACCCGAGTGCAAGATGCCTCACATCATCAATCTTGACCAGCTCAATCCAGACAACCAGAAAAAGCTTGTTGACTTTGTGAAAAACCAGCCCGGTCTGGGCTGGGCAGAAGGGAAGGCGCCTGCTGGTGAGACCTAGGATCGATCGTGATTCCTAGAACCTTTTCTTGTATGTACCCGATCATTCTAACTACTAAGTGCCTGTAACCCAGTTTCTTCCATGTCTCTATGTCTGCCTGATCGCACCCTTCGGCGTACTCTTGGGACACCAGTTGTTCAGGCACCTACCGCCGTCCCTGGTGAGCCATTGGATGCCCTTGCCCGGTTTTTGCCTCCCCCAGGTCCCCACGTGGTACCAAACGACGAGGTTGAGGATGTTGATGTTGGCCCACAGATGGCTACGCGTAGTGCACTACGCTAAAAGCTAGTGTAAAGATCTTTCGAGTGTTTTGAGTTTGAGAGAATGAAAGTTATGAGA